AGCGGTAATATGCTGTTTCTAGGCGATTGTAAAATATGTCTTTGATCTGTTCATATTTGTCTTCGGTCGGAGCATGGGCGCAGACTGATGTAGAAGAACTTCGCATTAATGCGGATTAATGCAATTCGTTCATGTACTGGAGTGAATCTGGAGACTAGGTCTTTTATCCCCCTCTTAACCATAAATCCGCAGACAAATTCATTTCTCGTTTCATGGCAGCTGTAATACAGTGCGTAATAATTTGATTTCCATCGCCTTTACTGTAAGGCAATAATATCGACTTTGTACTGGTTGAGTACATCCGCACATTCCAGGTGCCGATTCGCAGATGGTGGCCCTTTATACGTTTACGTGGGTCGTCAACATTACGGGGGTTTGATTTTCTTTTTCATATTTTGCATATTTTAACATAAAATTTCTGTCCGACTTTAGGTATCTTCATGGTTTTGGACGCTTTTTTCCAATTAAATTAATTTGATTTTGGTGGATAAAAAAATTCTTACATCCAGTTGACGAGGCTTTTGAAGTACTTTTTCACTTCAAGCACAACAAATCGGGCGCCACATGTCCATGTATTACCGGCAATCGACAAATAGATGTTGTTTATGCGAACCACGTCGAGGATATTAGAGAGACGATGGTTGTTGAAATGGTTGCAAAGACAATTCACTCTATTAGAAATCTGTAAAAACCATAATACGAATCCATACATTGGGTTTGCATTTACTCGCGTATATATTGTATTTTCCAGAACTGGTCCAGTTATTTATCTCACAAATCTGTCGGTGTTAAAAAGTTTTCGTGCAATATTGAGGCAATTGTAGGAGCTGAGGTCTAATTTATATAGTCCGCGCTGCAAATAACACCGACATAGAAACAAAATATAAAACTAAAATATAAGTCCACGCCAAAATAACAACCTTACAATATAGTTGTGTGTGGTATAAATAAATCGTTCCGTCGGTTCGAACTTTATATACCCTCCCTTCGCATCCCATTAAAATTTCCGTATTCGAATGGAGCGTTGGGCTATTTGCTCTAGTGAATCAAATTAAAGAAATCGGGGTTTTAATTTATTATAAAGGTTTTAGAATCCATGTGTGAGTGGACTTCGACAAGAACTTAGTAACTAAACCTATTATCTCTAGATTGCCGAAGGATTGTGTGGATTTTATGAGTCGAAGAAGTATTATGGTCGCTGCGATCCAAGAAACGAAGCTGAACAACACCTGCAGTCTTCAGAGTTGTGATGTATACAACGTGATTAGAAAGGATCGTACAAGAGGTGGAGGATTAGCATTCCTATTGCACCATTCTGTCCAGTACAGACCTATGGAATGTATGGGGGTAGCGGTCAAATGTGGTACCGCCAAGGCAGAGGTGCTTAACGTTTACATTCCGCCGTTAAATAGCTGTGCCCCGCGTTATTTGCCCGACATTAGTCATCTTTTGGAAGGCAATAACCGTATGGTGCTAGGGGATTTCAATGCACATCATGAGTTATGGCATTCCGTCCTAGGTGATGACCAGAGGGGCATGGCGCTGGCCGGGCAAATTGATATCTCAACGTTTTGCACCGTGAACGAGGACATACCCACCAGGATAAGGGGAGACTGCCAAAGCTCACCGGACATATCCATCGTGTCTCCGGGTCTGACGAATGACGTGGCTTGGCATGACAGGTTGCCATCATTGGGGTCAGACCACCTCCCTATCATCATATCCATCAACAGACCACCCGATTTCATAAATTCTGAATGCCGTATTTTCCTTAATCATGGGAAAGCCAATTGGCAAGAGTTCAGAAATTTCACCAATCGTCGCTTCAGAGAACTGCCCATCCCTTCTGATGCTCGGGTAGCAGAAAACAATTTCCGGGACATCATCACTGCTGCAGCCGCTCGCTATATACCTGCGGGTCGTATACCCGAACTAAGACCGAACTTCCCAGCAGAGGCAGCGGGACTAGCAAATGAGCGTGATGAGCATCGCCGTTCTAACCCTACTAACCCCAGAGTCAGAGAACTGATGTTGGAAGTGAACAGGTTAGTCGGCGAGCATAAGCGGAAAAAGTGGCTAGAACATCTGAAGTGTTGCAACATCAGTACCGGAGTGACTAAATTGTGGGCAACCGTTAAGTCGCTCTCGAACCCTGGAAAGAAGGAGGATCGGACTTCTGTCTCATTTAACGGCGTTGAGGTGACAGATCCGAAGAGGTGCGCGTGTTATTTCAACCGGCAGTTTATAGAGCACCCCGAGAATGACCGGGCGAAGAGAAGAGTATTGCGCCGTATACGCTCTCTTCAGGTGGAGGAGGAACCACCACAATTTACGTTCGAGGATGTTGCAAATGTCATTAGGAACGCGAAATCATCTAAAGCGCTTGGTCCAGATGGAATCTCAATGGTGATGTTGAAGCAGCTGGATGAGCCAGGAGTAGATTATCTCACCAAAGCCCTCAACTTGTCGTTATCCACCCTAGTAGTTCCCGATGCCTGGAAAATGGGCAGGTTGGTCCCGCTACTGAAGCCGGGCAAGGATGCCAGCAAAGGTGAGTCATACAGGCCGATCTTACTTTTGTCGCCAGTAGCCAAGGCACTTGAGGCATTCGTGAATGCTACTCAGTTGCTGATCATCAGCATGGGTTCCGGAAACAGCACAGCACAACAACAGCTTTGCACGCCATTTCCGCACACATAGCAGAAGGTCTCAACCAGAACAGGCCGTGTAACAGGACAGTCATGGCCGCGCTAGACCTATCAAAGGCATTTGATACCGTCCGGCCAAGTTTGAAAAGTTGGGTCGTAAACTATATGTGTGGACGCCAGTCGTACGTGGAATTCAGAGACAGGAAATCGAAGGCCCGTAGAGTTAAACAGGGAGTTCCCCAAGGAGGGGTGATATCTCCGGAACTGTTTAACCTCTACCTCTCTGGAATTCCACGCCCACCGGACGGCATAAAGATCGTGACATATGCGGATGATTGCACGATAATGGCGTCAGGACCTAAAATTGATGACATTTGCGAGAGGCTGAACCACTATCTCGTGGATATCGCTGATTTTTTCCGGTCGAGGAATATGAAAATATCCGCCACTAAGTCAACGGCCACACTGTTCACCACATGGACAGCGGAGATGAGGCTATCTTTGAATGTGCAGGTCGAGGGGTCCACAATTCCGACCACTAATTACCCCAAGGTTATAGGGGTCACATTCGATAGCCTATACAAGTCGTCCGCGCATGCTACAGCTATTTGCGATAAAGTCAGGAGCAGAAACAAGGTTCTCAAGTCGCTAGCCGGCAGCACTTGAGGAGCTGACAAGGAAACCTTGTTAACGACTTATAAAGCAATAGGCCGGTCTATGGTAAAATATGCGGCGCCAGTGTGGTCCGCTAACGTCAGTGCAACGTAGTGGAAAAATCTTCAATCCTGCCAGAATGCCGCCCTGAGGACTGCGAATGGCGGTCTATTGGCATGACTCCAATAGACCACTTGCATGAGGAGACGAAGATCCTTCCTGTGCGTCAACACAACAAGATGTTGTGATGCAATACTTGCTTGGGTGTTATAGGAGCAGCCATCCGAACCGCTACCTAATAGATAGGCACCCACCACCCAGGCATGTCAGGAAGGATCTCCATGATCTGGGGAGAGAGGTCCAGAGGTAGAAAAGGGAGCCTCTAGATCAACAGGCCTATCAAGCAGGATTGAACAGTATTCACACGGACGCAGTTGAGGAAGCAGTTCAAGAATATCGCGTGAATACCATCCTCGGAGACCATCCGCCTTTGATAGCCGCAGAAGAGCAGCAGCTACCTCGACAAACTAGAGTGGTCTTGGCACAACTGAGATCTGGATGGTGTAGCCGCCTCAATTCGTATTGGGCACGAATTGATGGAGAGGTCGACAATGTCTGCCCGGCATGTGGTAACGGACCATATGACACGCTACATCTGTTCAACTGCCCAGCCAGTCGCAGCCTTTCTGAATTTGGAGTTAGAGGCAGAACCAGATTGAAAAAAAATTGAAAATACACAGCAGTACTATCTGCTACAACAACAACAAACACATATCGTTTCCTTGTGGTTGTTGTATTTTCGATAACATATAACGCGAGCATTCTGCTTAGCCCTTAACTGTCCGCGTCTTCTTATTTAATTCGCAGCTACCGAATACATAAAATTGGTTTCCATTATCGGCAACCTGTGGACTCGTCCAATTGCATTCAGATATGCTTCCTTGAGATGAATATATTCATAATAGCACCACAACATTATATTCAACCTCATTATATACACAACAGTCAAAAACAATAACATCCATGCTATCGATAGTGCAAATATACACCCTGTGTTTGTGCAAACATCTCATGAAGTGTCATTTTAAATACTTTGTTTTTGTTTACTAAAACCAAAAAAAAAATTAATGACATATTATATAATTTTTTTAGGTTTAATGGTTAATCAAATCCATCCCTTAAATAACCAGTATTTAGTACGGTAATAGACACCCTGTTTTAATCACGGAACTAGTTCCCTTCATTTTCCAGTTCATTCTTTTATGTCTTATTCTAAACATGACAGGTGCCACTACATTATGTTTCACACTCATTCGTAAACATGACATTTACTGATGTCTCCCACTATTCACAGCGTTCAAAACGTTTTTAGATTAGGTCGGTTCATTAATCATCAAGCTGAGCAAAAAGTTCATCAAAATACAAAGAAAATCTTTTTTAAACAAAATAAATAAACTTTTTTACATAAATATACAATAAAATGGCTGCTTTGAAAGGTAAATTAGTGAATACAATTGATAGATTAGTGATTTTTCTAAATAAAACTAAAAACAACTCAACCCCCTTTTCTTCTGTGTCGTATTGCTTTGGGAAAACAAACAACAAAAACAAAATATGCAGCGTAAGTTTTCATAAATAATAAACATCAACAATACACCTTTTATTAATCCTTTGTTTATTTCCATTTATTTTTGCGTCAATAGTTTATTAATATGTGCATTTATGACATGCGTTGGCATGACATTTCTGATTTTGGCTTGTGCCGTGCCTCAACAAAAGATTTTCTATCCGTTCTTTGTGCTGCTGTTCTATGTGTTATCCGTGATACCCATTGTCATAGCCAAACGACTGAATCCCGGCGCTGAAACAAATCCCAAAACAGAATTTGCTTTATTCCTTACCGCGGGTATGGTACTTAGCGCCTTTGCATTGCCCATTGTTTTGGCACACACCGGAGTGGTAAGTAACTGAGGAAGTACTTCCTCCGTACATCTTCAAACTCTTTCTCTAGACGCATAAACAAACAAAAATTACGTCATGCGTAAATAACAATGCATTTTAATACGTCTCTCTTTTTACGTTGCAGATCACCTGGCTGGGCTGCATATTGACATTGGTCAGTAATGTCATTAACTATTTAACCATATTCGGTTATGTTATGCGAGAAAATGAATTTGATGCTCCGTATGGTGGTATGTTCTAAATATGTATATGTCGACAAAGAGGAGTTTGAAATGCAGTAGTAATCATCATCATTATAATATATACACGGTCCATAAAGTCAATAAATGGATAAATGGTATTATTTTGGTTGATTAGAATAATGAAGAATGTAAGCTGGCAGCGGTTTAAAATTACAAAGCCGCATCGATAGAAAAACAAGTCGAGTATTATACATACATACAAAAAATTGGTACATTTGCGCATACATATATATAAATATTACGCTGATCTTTTTTTACATATTATATGCAAAACACGAAATAGGCATCAAATAGACACTCATATTTATTTCTAATCTCATAGGTGTTAAAGAGAAAATTATCGTAAAACAACAATAATAATAATTATATAAAATACAATAAAAAAAGATAAAAATACCACCACATAATTAAAATGAAATATTTTGTATTTTTTGAAAATAGCGGGAAGATAAAAAGTGTCTTAGTATTCAATTGTGCATTATCTGGAGGACAAGGCAATGCACTAAACGAGTTAGAATTTATAAATTTTCAATATTACTCGATATAGTTTTAAAAACTAAAATCGGGCAACGAATAAAATATTGCCTCATCGATTGGAAAATGCAGCTAGGTTCATAAAAATGGCTAAAATAGGTTAGCACATGGACCGATTATGACCTACCTAAATTTTGGGAAAATATTTTCAATCTCCTAACCGAAAATGGAACTGGGACTATAGTAATAAGACCTTTCGGACTTACTCAAAGCGGTGTGTCCATTTGCAGTCGTTGTTGTTGTAGCAGGTTGTTCTGCTGCGTATTTCTTCTCATTTTCCTTAACCTGGTTATGCTTCTAACACCAAGTTCAGGAAGGCTGCGACCTGTATCGGTTGAGTCCAAAGAGAAGATGGGGCTAGGTGATTGGGTTTGGCTAGGCAGTTGAATAGGTGTAGCGTGTCATGTGTTTCGTTACCACATGCCGGTCAGATATTGTCGACCTCTCCATTAATTCATGCCCAATATTAATTGAGGCGGCTACACCATCGACATCGAGGTAGCTGCTGCTCTTCTGCAGCTGTCATAGGCGGGTGATCTCCGAGGATGGTATTCACACGATATTCTCGAATTGCGTCCTTAACTGCATCCGTGTGAATACGATTCAATCCTGCTTGATAGGTCTGTTGATCTAGAGGCTCCCTTTTGTCCATTTGCAGTAAATTTTTGCACTGCACATTGATGTAAGTTAACAGTAATAGGGAATATCAACTCAGGCTATAATATCTTGCTAGTTAACAATGAAATTCAGGCGAAATTTGTTGCATTCAATGGAGTGGTACAGGGTATTATGTCTTTGTACATATTGAGACATATTCGCCAAAAAAACGTAACCCTCAAGTTTGAAATTTTACAGGAGAAGGTTTGTTTTAATAAATTCAGATTTAATAAAGCTATTATTTTGAAATTTAGAACTATAGTTTTGTTATAAACTAGTTCTGTTTTAAACTATTAAAATCTGCAAAACATGCAAAAGCCAACGAGATAGACAAATAGTTCTCTTAGAGAATCTACACAGATACACTTTCTGAGTCGATTTATGCGTGTCCGTAAGCCTTTTGGTGGTAAATTGTAAACAAATTACAGGTCGTATTTATAATCCGATTTGGATGAAATTTGACACAGCTCACTTTTTTGAGCTTAGGACGAACCCTATTGAAATTCGTGAAAATCGGTTGAGATTTAGATAAAGTTCCCAATGACCCTATATATTTTTCGATTTGCACAAAATTTGGCATATCGTACTGAATAGAGTCCAAAATGATGTGTGCCAAGTTTCGTAAAAATCAGTTCAGATTTAGATATGGTTTCCATGTATATTTTTGTCCGATTTTTTTGAAAAACTTAGTACGCCCCTAAATTTATTCGATTTGCACGAAATTTTGCATAGTGTACTGACATGAGTCTAGAATGATGTTTGCCAAGTTTCGTGAAAATCGGTTCAGATTTAGATAAAGTTCCCATATATATTTTCTCCGATTTTTTCTAAGTGGTGCACCAAAGTCCCTATATATCGATTTGCACGAAATTTTGCATAGTGTACTGACTTAAGTCTAGAATGATGTGTGCCAAGTTTCGTGAAAATCGGTGCAGATTTAGATATAGCTATATGTTGGGGTCTATTTTAGAGAAGAAAACTTTCATGATTGCAAGGATTTCTGCTTTAAAAACACTGCAAAGATTGTTAAGTTCATATGATTTGTATATTTCTAATTTCCTACAGTAAACGCCTTCACCAGTGCCTTCCTCCATCTTTGATCCGTCTGTGAAAAATGACAGACCTGGCAGAGGTAAGGATCCACTAGTCCAGGATTTCCTACTAGGAAATTCTACTCTGATTAAGTCTCTATGATAGGGAACATAGTCACTAATGTGAGTATTTCTCCTCATGAGGATACTAGCGTGACCATTGTTCAGCGATTTCAAGGCATCCGTTTCTCGGATCGTCAGGCCAAATCTGGAAGCCTGGAATTTAATCAGAATGTCCAGTTGTTGAAGATTCAAGATCGCATTCAAGGCTGCCTGTGGTGTACTTCTTAGAGCTCCGGTTGTCACCAGTATCTTTTTGTTGACCCTGCCACCGGCGGCCGCTCTCGCCATTCATACATATGATTGCCTTATGTATGAATGGCGAGAACGGCTGCCACATACAGCCTGTGTATGATCTCTGGTCTCAAGTTCTTGCAAGAGTAGTGTGCTATCAGTCTTTTTTAGAGCGTTCCTCTAACTTCAAACTTACCTTCTTATATCTTTCTGTAAACTTCTCATCTTCATTTATTTCCCAAATCTTCTCTCCCCTTTAGATCTCTCCTTATCTCTTTTCTTCTCGTGGATGATTACAACGGACCTAACGGTCTCAGAGTGCTGCAGCCACATAAGTGACTGCACATCCCCAAACCTAACATAAACAAGAGCGTTCCTCAACATTCCTATTCCACGTCAATTTGCGGTCAAGGATTGTACCAAGGTATTTTGCTTCTTCAGAAAGGGATAGGGCCACTCCTCCCAAAGATGGCAAGCGGAAACTGGGAATCTTACCTTAGAGCAGGAGCACCAATTCTGTCTTAATGGGGTTTACACCAAGACCCTTGGCGTGTGCCCAGTTAGGCAGAGTTGAAAAGGCCCCTCCATAATATCTGAAATAGTTATTAGAAATTTCCCACTAATCAGCAAGACTACATCATCGACATAGGCTACAACCTTTATGTTAAGATAGATTTCAGCAGTACTTCATTTATCACCAGAAGCCACAGAAGGGGAGATCGAACTCCTCCTGTGGTGTGCCTCTGTTGACAGATTTCCTCTTGGAACTCTGTCCTAAGGATGAGTTGATAATTCTGCTTTCCAGCATTCTATCAATATAGGACAACTATTTTTTATGTAACTCCTTCTTGAAATATACCAACTACTGTAAAATTTAATGAAATGTTTGATCACATCGTGGGTAATGTTTAAATGTTGCTACCTTCAACTGGAAGATGGAGTTTTAATCTGAACGTACCTTTGATCCATAAATGCAAGTTCTGAACCGCGCAAACCGAAATGGCAACAATTTGAATAATACAAAGAATTTTCTTTGTTCATGTTATAATTTGCGAGAAAAAATAGGTATAAAAAATAATTTATATTAATAACATACAAATAATTTAAATATCATACCCATAACGAAGATTTTGATTTTGTCTTCACATTCAAATATTTGGTCTGTTCCCGTACTGCAAGAATGTACTAGATTTTACTATTTTCTTCGATATCATAAAGTAAAATTCGTTATCGTAGTAAAAAAAATAGTAGATTCTTGCAGTACGGGAACAGGCCAATTATTAGCTGCATCCACATTATCGGCTATATTCGTTTCCAAAGCTTTATCATGAATGTTTTTCCCTTTTTAGCGGGGTTTTACACTTATCGGGATTGGTGTTGAGAGTTTCTCTCTCTCTTGAGAGAGTAATTAGAGTTGCGCTATTTTTACTTTAGTAACAAGCGTACTTTTTGTTCACAAAATGTACGAATTGACATAAACGTACCAAAACAAAAATTATATTTTTTATTATTCGTGAATACATTTACGCTTAAATTATAACATATATTATTTATGCAAATAACTGGTATAAATATTGGCCAATATTTCTCGATAATTATGATTTATTATCATTTGAAGTAGAATTTTAGGTACCTTTTCGTACTTTTTTGTTCCTACCTGTGGTAATGTTTTCCAACTCAATTCACAAATTAACAATGGGAGAACTCTCAAAACCTATCCCGATAGTTGTAAAACCCCGCTTAGTCGAATTAAATTATCTTTTTTTAAAAAATACTTCAGTTTGCACTGCAAATCACTATGAACTGATAAAACACACCAACCATTTTCGACTATTGTGAATGAGCTGTGAACGTTTCCATAGCAACGAACTATGGCATATGTGGCCATTTGAAATATTTGTTTACATTTCATTTGGCACCATTAGAATTGAATTTTATTTAATTATTTTCTAAAATAAAATTGAAAACATGGATGTAAATACTCTGGAAACAAATTTAGCTGATAATGTGGATACAGCCAAACAAAATGGAAACGAGAAAACACAAGCGAAAACCTCTTTAGCAATGAAGAAAACAGCATTCCAATTGAAAGAAAATAATGGGTATGAGAACATTTTTATTAATTTATTTTGTAAAAAAAAAATAATTATGCGCCTATTTCTTATAGAAATATTCTGACAATCCATCATACGATCAAAGAAAATGATAAAATGCTGCGTATTGTCATAAGTGTGGCTTGTTTTGATATCCGCGGCTTACAGCTGGTTGCTGTGGACAGAAGGTGAGTTAAGACGCAACAAATGTTAGATGATTGGTAATATATACCATGAAGAACTTAAAGGCACCTTCTATGGGTCTTGGGTATAGGTAGAACACATTCCGTATATCTAATTTTATTTAAATTTTGGTAACCAAGTCTAAAAGGCCGTCTATGTTACAGAAACAAGATTTTAAATGTACAATAAGAGAAATTCTGTAGAACTTTGTAGATTGAAGGGCTCATTTAGGTGTTAAAAATACCTTTTGGATGGCTACAGATATGAAATCTTATGTCTTGTATAAGTTGAATGAATAATTCATTGGTTTTTATGAATAGAAGACTTATTGGTCTTCAATGGTTAGAGGTTTGACATTTTCAACAATTTGATTTTATGAACATTAAGGCTATGCATAGATCTTCTACACAGCCCAATTTTTGATATCCAATCTTGTATTTATTCAGGGGAACAATTTTTGTATTCGATTTAGTCTCAAGACGTTATTGGCGACATGCAGATGTTCTACCAAAACCAAGTGCAATTACATCCTCGTATAAGGAACATAATCAGTTTATTATGGGTAACAAGGAAGGCGTGATAGTTCTATTGGATGTGGGTAAGTGCAATCGCAATGGAGAATAATTTATCAATATTTTTTAAAACAATTTATGCTTTCAGAAAAATTCCAATTTTTGCATATAAATAAAATTTCCAACGATGTCATTAATGAGATATCATTTCCGGGCCAACCACTGGAACCCAAAACATTAATGCTCATACGTATTGGACGCTCAGCAATAATTATGGACTTTGAAAAGTTTACGTGTACACATCGCTTAGATTTTGACAAATTACAAATGTCATTGAAATTTGCCTCATATCTACCGCAATCGGAAAATATATTGACTTGTTTTTCCAATGACACCATACACATTTGGTCCGGGGTTTCATTGGAAGTTATACGTGTTATACATCCAATACGTTTAAGGGATAAAAAAATGCAGACCGATGAAACCAGAATACCAGAACTCACACTCGACAATGTGGAACACAAGGAGCAGATATCGAAAATAAATATGGATAATGGTTTAATTGCTGCATATGCTTATCGCATGGATGGTTCAGTGTTTGCCCTATCAACATGGGATAATTATTTACTTCTGCTCAGCCCATATACTTTTGAACTCCAGACATTGATAAATTGCAAAGATTTCATTTTGTTGCAAATGTCTTTGATGGCCAAACCAAATGATCAATTTTTAATTGGCCTAACGAACAGAGGATCGGTTGTTATGTTTGATTGTATTAATACAGAATATAAATTAATTATTGACATTGGTCCGGCAAGATCTTTAAGATCTTCTTTAGGTAGTAAATATCTGACAATAAGTCGTATATCTGGTGAATTATCCCTGTGGTCCATATGCCATCTGCTGTCGGTGTTAAAATTACAACAAGAATGTATGACCCTGCTAAGATCAGCTTTTAAACAAGCCAAACCTTTTAAACTGCCTTCAAATGAAATGGATACAAAATTCCAAGAAGAAATTAAAAAACTCCTAACTCCGCATCGTTTGCAACAAATTTTACAAGAGTTCCATTGTTATCCACCAAAATATCGCAGCTTGATTTGGTGTTCTCTGCTGGTGTTGCCTTACAACAAATTGCAATATAATGATTTACTACAAATGGGCACACCCCCAACCATTGCCCAGAGATGTCGCCATCTGAACATGAAAAATGACACCCTGAAAAGGGCATTGATAAAATGTTGGTCCAGTCTCAGTCAATGGTGTAAAGTTTTGGCTTACAGTGAAATGCTACCCGACTTAATATTCCCCTTTGTAAAATGTTTCCAACAAAATCATTTGGTGGCATTTGAAATCTGTATGACTTTAATAACCAATCAGTATCAATTATTTTTTGAATATCATCCATTGGAACCGTCAAGTTATTTGGGATTATGTGCCAATATCTTGCAACACTATGACAAAATGTTATTTGATTATTTCACGGCAAAAGATGTTACACCCACAATATATGCTTGGAGTATTTTGAAGAATTCTTTCAGTGAAATACTGGATGAAGAGCAGTGGCTGTGTTTATGGGATAATGTATTATCTTCGCCCATATATTATCCCATTTTTGTTGTTGTTGCCTACAACATTATGCAAAAGGAAGTCTTATTACGTCTCCCAGACAAATTTATTATCGAACGTTTCTATCATGATCAAAATCCCATTGATGTACGTAAATTAATAGCGAAAGCCTACAAACTACTTGACAAATGTCCCGCTCATTTACATCCCAAACGTTATATGCAAACCAATTTCCAACCCATACCTCCAAATGTTTATCCCAAATTCCTCAACTATCCCAATGAATGTTTAAAAAGATACGAAGAAAAAGTACAAGATTTACAGTGCATAAATGCGGTAATTGATTCGCGAATGCGCGATTTAGAACTTGAAGAATTGGAGATAATGAAACGTTTAGAAAATGGTCTACGGCAAGAGGAACACACGAAACGTCTTAAAGAAGTGGAGAAATACTATCAGGATACACTGAGACGTGAAGAGGAGAGAATCAATTGTCAGCGTAAAATGTTATTACTCTATCGTAAAGAGTTGCGTCACAAAAAAGGTGAGGTAGCTGCCGCTCTACAAGAAGCGGAACAACGTAAAACTATTCTACTCAAAGAACATGAACTCAATTCGCTCCAATATTATATAGAACAAGAGGTAAGGGAGGCAGTTATTATCTTAAATATTTTTAAGAATTTTGAACTATTTGTTTATTCATATTTTAGCGCATGTGCAATGACATTAATTTAATGTGGGCTGAAGAGGAACTACAAAATCAAGATCTTGAACTGCTGGCTCAGAAATCAATGAAACCACCTTTAACACCATCATTAACCTCAACATATTATGATGATATTTGTCGATTACAAAATGAACAGAAAAGACTTAATAATGATATTAAAAAGGTAAGAAAGAAACGAAGAAAGAAATATGTACAAAAGGAGTTTTGGAAATTCGACATATAAGTGTACGAAAAGTACTAAACTTTACTAAATTTAGTTCTAATTGTATATGTATTGAACATATATAGCTAGAATCTTGAAATTTTATATGGAATACAGGTTGAGAAGTGGTGTTGATGTATGGATATGGTTTAAGAAATTCGTATTGTGTATGATAAGTACTAAATGGTACTAAAATTTTTACAATTTGCATTTAGTTGGGCGTATAGAGATGGAATCCTGAAAAAAAAGGAATTATTGGAGTAAAAAATTGATATAGTTTTAAAAAATCTTACTTATGTGTACTAAAATTACTAAATGGTACTAAATTTATTGCAAATTATAGAGAACTTTGTAGATTGAAGATTATTGCAACAGATTGAGTTGGAGTCTTCAAATTGGGAATTAAAAAGAAGGATTGAGGTTGTTTTGGAAATTGAACGGAGAGACCTGGGAACCTAAAAATTTGTGGAATTGGGATATGGAGGCATCGTACTTATGCGTACTAAATGATACTAAATTTGGTACAAATTGATTTTGTGTGAACGGATGGAGCTGGAATCCAGAAATTTCGAATTAAAATTACTGTTGGAGTGCATAATTGAAATATGGAGAAACTTTTAAAAAATCGCACGCCCGCACGCCCTTAATCGTGAGCTCCAGATGGACAGGATCTCTCTGCCGAAACAGATGTGTGAAGCTGACTTCTGTCAAAAGGTAATGAAAAAGACTGTTGAGAACATCGCAACACAAACTGTCGTCCATAAGGGTAATCGATGTATGGGGGGCTCTGTTTCAAAGCCCAATTCTACGCCAATTGAAGCGGATGGTGCTAAGGTTTTGAGTAGCCCCACCGTTGGTCGGAATAGGAAGAAGGGCAAGTCTAGCAAGGAACCATCATCTTCTGGTACCTTCCCGCAGTGTCAACATTTAGAAAATTTGTTAATAAAATATCAATATAATGCAAAGGCTGATTTGATCAAAACTTTGCAAATTGTAAAATTTTTCCAAGCCTAAATTAAATCCTAAGATGGTGTCGATAGAGCAACCTCTTCTGTTACCTCGCCAAAGTGGGTTAACTCTTTGATAAAATCATATGCCTTTTATACAACGGATAATAAAATATATGTTTTATTCCGTAGACCTCCAAAGGTTTCGAATTGAATGTTTAGGGCATTTGATGAACCTGAAGATGTAAGAAGCGACGCAGACCTCTGCACAAAGAAACATAGGTTGAATGAAAGAGATAGGACTGTATGGTATAGCCAAAGCATGTCCGATCGTGGACCCCAGCATTTGCTTATGAAATTTGTAGCATGTTCCTTTACATTCCTTTTCTACGTCAAATGTTGGTCAAGGACTATGCCGATGTTTTCATTTACAAAGAGAGCTTTAAAGTCACCTCATTCATGACTGGTAGAGGGAAGTTTGGAAGCTATTGAAACATTCAACCATGTCACACTAATTGGAGACTTAAACAGGTCACTTTGCATTTATTTGTTACATGCAAGGGTTATAACCCACATAGGTAGGTATAGAGTATAATTGTACATGTATAACAATATGATTCAAGTCGGCTCTGATACAGATATAGTTCCCATCTGTCCATAAGAAGCTTTACTCATACATAATAGTCATTCTGTCATGTTTTATTAATTAGTTTCTTCAAGTTCAATACCATTATTTTCATAAGCAAATTAAGTATAGTATTGCGTGTGTCAAAATTAGTTTAGTTCGCATTTAAATATAGTCCAATATTAACGTTAGTTTATATTGAGGTAAAAATTGACGCAGTGTTGTCTGGTATCATATAATCGCCAACGACTAATTTTAGTATTTTATTAATTGTTTATAGTAGTGGTTTTTAGATTTATCTATTATGTTTATAAATTATGCCTTTTTCAATTTTTTATTCCATTTATATCAATTTTCAATAATTCAAACAGATTGTCCAGCCTCCATTAACAACGCGAGACAGCGATTATAAAAACAACAAAACAACACAACGGACAACAAAAATAAAATCATTAAAAAGTCACAACGACTTTGAAGCAGAATTGGAAAGATGCCAAATGGAATTTTTATCTCTAACTGGACCCTAACGTGAAAAAAACGACAACAATTATAACAACAAGACAAGCTGCAGCTAATATATCTTCAAAACAAACACACGCGCGCACACACACACGAACAAAATAAAACACATAACAATTTCCATTAAGGATATTCAATTTTGGTGGCGACTAAAGCGTTCTTTATTTTTGTTTTCAATACCTTCTTATTTCACATGCGGTAATTTGTGGTTGTTTTTTTGGTACCAAGAAAATCCTAATCATCCTTCTTTGTTGATTGTGGATGCTGTCCTGGTAAATGGCCAAGGTAAGTTGTTAGTTTTAGGCTTTAGTTAAGGAAATGTTGTGTCTAAACATATATATGGCGAAATTAGTTTTCTGTTTCGTTTAGTTTATTTTCACAAGATTTAAATGTTTTTTTTTTTATTATACTCTTCTCTCTTTGGTTATCAATAATAAATTATAACATATAGTTAACACATGTGGAATGTGTGTATGTGTTGTATTAGTAATTAATTTAAATATATTTATATATTTCTTTCGGTATTAATTAATATGTATGGATTTCTCTTATCTGTTTTTTGTTTTTTAATTTTATAATAATTAATAATTGCATTTTATTTAATTAATTTATTATATATTTTATATAATATGGAATATGTTTTTATTTTAATATATATATTTAAAAAGACAAAAAACATTTTTTTTTTAATTTTTTTCCTTATATTTTTTTAGAATGTATTTTGTTTTTTTTTTCTAGTTTCATTTTTTTAATAATTATACTAAAAGGGATTGGTTGTTTTCAAGAGAAGTGGGTTAGTAAAAAGAATTTCCAAGGAAGGGATGGGGCAGGAGGGAGGATTTTTTCTTTTTTGTTTTTGTGGTATTTATGTTAGTGTTGCTGTTTTTGTTGTTGTTGCTATTACCAACCCTTCACTTGCTTGCTTAATTTTAACAATAATAATTATAATAATATGTATGTATGTATGTATATATACGGGGGAATATACTTAACAGAGATCAGGATTATCATCATTAGCCTTCTTAATCCGCAATAGTATAGTGGTATACCATTGATCAAGCCGTGAAATACTGTCGTAATTCTTCACCGTCTCAGTGAAGGCTTCAATGTCTTGCTCCTCCAAGTGCTCACACAACGATTTGACCAATTTAAATTCCCTCGAGTCCTGGAATGCTGGATACATTTGTATATACTTCTCCATGGCATGTTGGCAATTCAAGACATCTACACTCAGCTGACACAAAGCAGCCCGGAAGAAATACTCTTTGGCGCTGTGCTTGAGCAGTGAAGATTCCAGGGCCGATGCACCAACTTGTTCGTACAGTTCAATTGCCTTCGGGTAATCCTCCAATTGTGCAGCATACTGGGCGACCTTTAACAAACACTTATTGGCCGAGCTGTTCGACTCTTCGCCCTTGAAATAGTCCGCAGCCTTTTCATAATGTTCAATGGCCTTCAACAGTGTATTGGGATCGCTTTCATACATCTCGGCAATGCTTTGGTGATGTTTTGCGGCCGTGGTAAATCTACCCATGTCCGTGTAAATATCGATGGACTTTAGGAGACAATTTGCGGCCATTTCCACATCGATTTTCTTATAGCAATTAGAGGCATCCACATAATTGGTGCCAGCATCATGACGGCTGCCGGCTCGGGCATGCAAAGCGGCAGCTTCGCAAAAACACTCACCAGCCTTTGTCCAGTTCTTGGACATTTTAAACATATTTCCTGCCCGCTGATAGCATTCAATGGCCTCTTCCACCTTGTTGGAGCCACCGAAAATATTACCGAAAAATCCCTTTTGCTGACTCAATTTCTTTTCAGCGTCTTGCATTAATTGCAAAGCCTTTTGTTCGTTGCTGTCACCCATTTTTCCAAGTTTGTAATTTACTTTCGTATTCAGCTATTTAAGACCACGTTTAAGTTACTACTTTTTACTTGACACTATATATATTTTTTAATTTTTTCTAAGCTCCAAATAGGCAGCTATTGGCAAAAATTTTTGCTGTATATTTGCGGAGCAAAAAAACAAATTTGTATGAAAATTTCGTTGCTCTGTTAAAAAATTACTCAATGTAGAAATCGATACCAATGATGGTAGGACCACTGTGTGAGATGAGATTGAGTCATGCGCAAACGGGATACACTGCTAAAAACTCGCCTGAAATTCGACTAGATTTTGACTGTATATATACATACAAACCTATATTAGGCACTATTTTTGGATATTTTGTGAAGGAATTTCATTGACCACCACCAGTGACCATGCGTAGTAGAAATTTGGGAAAAATAACGGCTCAGTGAGTCACTTTATTGGAATTTTTTATTATTTTTGAAATGAGGCAATGCCACAAGGGAGTAATTAAACGAGGAAAAAGACAATTATTAAAATATAAAACATTAAACAAAAAAAAATATATACTTTTTTATTATCTCCTCTCCTTGGAAAAATAGACTTTTTTTTTTTTTTTATGTATTATTTTGGTTGGCCCACTTTCTATAGGGATAGAAGGTTTAGTGCCATGTCTCCATATGTAGCTTAAGCTACGAATTTGACTTTATCCATAGATGGTGGTTTGTGTTTTGCAGGTTGACTTCGATCTTCTTTAAGAATTTGACCACAATGTTCAGACTTTCTAAGCCTTGTGTATCAGTGAACTCTTCTACTGTGAAGGAGTCACATAGTTGCGAAAAGCATCTTCTTTTGTTATTAAATTTACGAAAATTGAAAATTCCATGCGCAGCTGTTTGGATTCTGTTGAACGACTCGTAATTTATAGGTTATCCGTATTTAAAACGCACGTGTTAGTTAAGCGAACGCTTAACAACCGCCATTTTGTAAAAATCTATTTTTAAGCCCGTGGGCGTGTAATACTCATTTAAAATTTTACGTCTTTCTTGTGAGCCGTCCGAGGACGAACTGAAAAATAGACTTTATTTATGTTTATTGTTGACAACAGCTGTTATTTATCTAAGCTCGTATTGGAGATATTGTGAATTGCTATAACTATTGTGAATGTTTATTCATTGTAATTCACAATAATATTAGGAAAGAATTTTGTATACAGAAAAATATAACGAACATTTTGAAATTTTTACCCCTTTCAAGAGTTCCGTCCAGAACCTTATAGTACGATTACATTTAACCGGATTTCGTTAACCCAGTGGATTTCAGTTGTAAATTCCTTTGCATATATGTCAAATAAATCCTCATAAAGTAGGTTAACCCAGTAAAAAGTTCTAATGCATATGCCGTTTTAAAGATTCTACTAATTTTACAAACCGTTCAAAACTAGAACAATGTTCAACCAAATTTGTCTTTGTAAACTTTTTACTACATCCCATGTATTTCTAGATTGTGTTTCAAATAAAACATTACAGTTATCATTATGAAACAGTTCTGCTCCAGATTACAACAGATACACAATATGTCAAGAATGAGTTTACACATGGAATAAATAAAAAAAATAATACTAAAAAATTGTTAGTAATAAACAGGAATAATTCGTTACTAAAGTTAGATTTTTGATTCTTTTTATAATTGTGTTCATATGAGATAAAATGCAAAAAAGATGACGGTATAGAGTGTATAGCACCTAGCTAAGAAGAGGTTAGAGTACCAATTAATCGGCTGAAGAACAATAAAGCAGCTGGTGCCGATGGATTACCTGCCGAATTATTCAAGACCGGTAGTCAGATGCTGGCCAGGAGCATGCATTTGTAGAATTTGGGTACAGGAATGCATGCCCAATGATTGGAACATTAGCATCCTGTGTCCCGTGCACAAAAAGGAGACAAGACGATGTGTGCCAACTATAGAAAACAAGTATCCTTGAAGCCAAAAGTAGGAAAGAACCTTTGGGAGCCCTTTTTATATCGAACGAGGATTCAGACAAGGTGACAGTTTGTCGTTTGACCTGTTCAACATCCTGCTTGGAAAGGTCATATGAGATGTAAATGTGAACAGAAAGGGCACTCTGTACACCAAACAGCATATGTTACTCGCCCACGCCGACGACATCGACATAATGGGTGGAACATTGCGAGCGGTAACAGCCACCTTCGAACAAATTGAGAAGGAGTCAGCCAAAGTAGGACTGGCAGTAAATGGCGAAAAGACGAAGCTGATGGTATCAACGCTCAAGACGTCCAGTAGATTCGGATTAACTGTGGAGCTTGAAAGTGAACGATTTTATATACCTCGGTACCGCCATAAACAAAACTTCTAACATCAGCTATGAAATCCGGAGCAGAATAGTGTTAGCCAACAGATGCTACTATGGTTTGAGTAAAGCAAGGCCAAACTCACACTCTACAAGACGCTGCAGTTGTATGGATCTGAAGCATGGGTACTTGCGCAAGCGTATGAGGCTGCGCTTGGAGTGTTTGAGAGAATAATTATCCGGAAGATCTATGTGCCGATCTGCGTCGATGGTGCATATCGCCGTCGAATGAACCATGAGCTATACCATCTATTCCCGGACATCGATATAATCAGATGGATCGAGCTGCAGCGACTACGTTGGCAATGCCATCTTGTGAGAATGGATGAAGATGCCCCAGCTTAAAGGCATAAAATGTGGAACGAAACTTTCTGCGTCTCTAGATTGTGGGTCACTGAATCCAAAAAATTGATTTGTGTCCTTTTTTCTTATCAGTATAATCGACAGGATCAATTTTTGGGCTGTGACCATATATTCACACTGTCACAGACCCGCCAAATTTCCATAGGATTAATATTATATTTGTTTTTTTTTTAAGTCTAAATATTGTTGTACGCCTATCGTTGTTTAGCTTGATATGCGCCCCCAAATTATTATTGACATTTTTCCAAATTTGACTGTTGGGTTGATATTCAAACCCAAATACTGGTGGGTACATCGTTTTGATATGACCATCCTCGCAGCAACTTTTTTTCGCATTTTCACTTTCTCCTTATTCCGAAACAGGTTCGAAAGCAAGAAAATCCCCTTTGGGGAAAAATTATTTATTGTGGATTACAGGGATCGATAATAAATTTCAGGGAGATGACTACAAAAATATAAGTATTAAATATTTTTATGACAAATATCTACACAATACATATTCTATGAAGATTTTGAATAAAAAGTAACAATTTTTTAAAAAATTTCAATAACTAAAATATTACAAAATTAAATTACAAATATTCCTTAAATTACAATATGACAACACGAATTTGTTCATTAACCACAATTTTTGAAAATTTGAGCTGGCATCTTGCAAAAAATTCTCCCTATTTATTCAGAATAAGGCGAGAATGTGAAAGCGAAAAAAATTTCACAAGCGAATATCCACAATAAGGTTATATATTTCGAATTTAAATTTAATAATCGAAGGATTGTCTAACAATACAACAATAGTTAGTGATATCTGCAACACACAACACAATATAATAAATTGTAAAGTCAAGGCCCCGTATAACGAATTGTATATTGTCATGCCCATTTGTTATAGGGCAAAGTTTTTTAGGTGCAATTTTATTTAAAAACAAAAATGTAGAACGTAATAACAGTAATTAAAACCTGTTTAGATTATTTTTTATTATTTTTTGCGTTATACCCATTTTGTTATACCCAGTATATAAATTTGGAAAACGTTCGTATTATGCGGTAGTCAGTGTAGAAAGCTCATTCGTTATACCGGGCATCAATTGTATTTAGTTAAACAATTTGTTATTTTTATTTTCTTTAATAAATATATTCTAACTACACATTTTTTTTACAAATTTTAAAAACTGTACAAGGCACTTTGATATAACATATTGTAAATAACAACTAAGCCAGCTTAGTAGTTTAATTTTTATCAATACGATAAGTAATAGGATTATTTAAAATTGTTTGAGTATTGCTAATATTGCTACCATAAGGCACCACTAATTTAGGGATGTTCATTACCAAATGTATGGTAGAGGCAGGAATTTGTATTTGAGCAGGTATACCAAGATCTGTGGTAGTTGTTGGAGCTAAAAAACAAAACAACAGTAATCAAAGAAAATTTGTTAGTACAAAGTTTAAAAAATTTGGATTAAATGTGGAACCTACCCTGTAGTGGCTGTAGAACAGTCGATTGTAGTTTCGCCACCTGTGCTTCTAACTGTTTCACTCTTTGTTTTAGTTTTTCATTTTCCATTTGTAGATCTGCGTTACGCTTCTTCATTTTCTGGCGGTAGCGTGTTGATGCCGCACGCCTTCGCTCCATGGTATCATCTTTGTATGAAAGTTTACGATTAGATGATGTAGACGATGACGCTGTCCGCTGTTGGGTAATTGTTGAAGAACATTTATTACTAGGCCATTCGGGTGGTTTTGATTTACTCGATTGATTCAAAATGGCCTTCAGACGTTCTTTTATCGGCAGTTGTGATGTTGGGGTCAAACTAGCACTACTCGGCTCGGGATGTGGTGTTGATGTCGTTGAAGTTACCACCGATGAAGAGGTGGAATCTTTGGTAGCAGTTGAAGTATTTAACTTAGGCAATATTAATGGATGTGATTTTTTATTGGATTTGCTGATTTGGTTGTCAGCTTCCGTGGTAGTTATATTTGCCGCAGTGGTTGTGGGAAAGGTAACTGTTATCATTTGGGGTTGTATAAATTGCACGGCGGATGGTAGAAATGTTAATGCTCCATTATTATTATTTTGAGGACTGCCACTGCTGCTCGTCGCAGGTTTCTCTGCAATGGCCCGATATTTGCTGACACTAGATGAAGTAGTATCTTCTGGTTTGCTAGACTTTGCTGCTACAGGAGTTTCCAGCATATTATCCACTGTGGTAACATCTAGCACTACGGGTGTATTTAGTGTATGCTTACTCAAATCCTCTCCCGCACTAATACCACCCTCAACGGCCACATCAAATTGTG